ATCTACTGATATAAGCTACAATTTGGAGATAAAAACATGAGACTAGAAATTTTTTTTCACCCTTAATTATTATAATCAAAACATCAACTAGTATAATTGGCACCTCTAATAAACTGAATTAAAATAAATGAATGTTTGAGTTTTACCTATTTATAAACAAAGATGGTGCCCCGTGAGTTAGTTACCGAGTTTCTTCCCTTATGAGTCTACAAACCATGGATTGTGAAGAAATTTATCCCTCCTCCTACACATTGTCCTAATTGTAAAACACAAAAATTATAAGGTAATTGTTGGACAAACTAAAAGTGGTTAAAAAAACAAAGTGATTTTGCTATTGGAAGCAAAATGACACAGGTGAAGACTCGTGTGTTTGAGATTTGTACAGTGAAAAGTGTTGTGGGAGCTGTTTTAGATTATGGCGTTACTATGCACCTATATTTATTGTGTGATATTTGATATAAATGTTTCACTTACAAGCTACAATTTGAAGATAAAAATAACATGAAACAGACCTTCTAAAAGATAGAAATGCTTGCAATCCCAAGAATATTCAATTCCAGAATTAACATCCCTCTTCTTTGGTCAACGGGTTCACTTATACAATCTATAATTTGAAGATGAAAACAACATAAAATAAGAAAATTATTATTTTTTCACTCTTAACTATTATAATCAAAACATAATGAACTAGTTATAATTTGCACCTCTAATAAACTTTACTAAAACAAATGAATGTTTGAGTTTTACCTGTTTATAAATAAAGGTGGTGCCTTAGTTACCGAGTTGAGGCCACAAGCCATGGATTGAGAATGAATTTATCTCTCCTCCTACACATTGTCCTAATTGTAAAACACAAAAATTATAAGGTCACTGCTGGACAAACTAAAAGTGGTTAAAAAAAAAATGTGATTTTGCTAATGGAAGCAAAATGACACAGTGGAAGACTCTGTGTTTGGGATAGACATGGTGAAAAGTGTTGTGGGAGCTGTTGTTGATTATGTAGTTATTATGCACCTTTATTTATTGTGAAATATTTGATCGTTTCACTTGTACAAACTACAATTTGAAGATAAAAATAACATCAAACAGACCTGCTAAAGATATAAATGCTTGCCATCTGGAGAATATTTAGTTCCAGAATTAACATCCCTCTTCTTTGGTCCACGGGTTCACTTGTACAAGCTATGAGAATGAAAACAACATGAAATAAATTTTTTTTTTTCACACTTAACTATTATAATCAAAACATAATGAACTAGTTATAATTTGCACATCTAATAAACTGAACTAAAATAAATGAATGTTTGAGTTTTACCTGTTTATAAACAAAGGAGGTGTCCCGATAGTTAGTTACTTAGTTTCTTCCCTTTTAAGGCCACAAGCAATGGATTGGGAAGGAATTTATCCCTCCTCCTACACGTTGTCCTCATTGTAAAGCACAAAAATTATAAGGACACTACTTAATAAGTAAAAGTGGTCAAAATGCTGTGATTTAGCTATTGGAAAGCAAAAAGACAGGGGAAGACTGATATGTTTGGGATTGGCATAGTGAAAAATGTTGTGGGAGCTGTTGTTGATTATGACATTACTATTCACCTCTATTTGTTGTGAAATATTTGATCTAAGTGTTTTACTTGTACAACCTACAATTTCAACATAAAAATAACATGAAACAGACATGCTAAAGATGGAAATGCTTGCAATCGGAATAATATTCCGTTCTGGATTTAACATCCCTCTTCTTTGGTCTACTGGTTCACTTGTACAAGTTACAATTTGAGAATGAAAACAACCTGAAACAATTAAATTATTATTTTTTACGCCCTTAACTATTATAATCCAAACATAATGAACTCATTATAATTTGCACATAGTAAACTGAACTAAAATAAATGAATGCTTGAGTTTTACTTGTTTATAAATGAAGGAGGTGCCCTACCAATTAGTTACCGAGTTTCTTTCCTTTTGAGGCCACAAGCTATGGATAGTGAAGGAATTTATCCTTCCTCATACACATTGTCCTGATGGTAAAATACAAATTATAAGGTCATCGATGGACAAATCAAAAGTGGTCAAAAGCCGGTAATTTAGTTTTTGGAAGCAAAATGACACAGACAAACAAGAGGAAGACTTGTTTCTTTAGGATTGTCATGGTGAAAAATGTTGTGGGTTGATTATGGTATTACTATGTACATCTATTTATTGTAAAATATTTGATCAAATTTTTCACTTGTACAATGAAGATAAAAATAACATGAAAAGACCTGTTAAATATGGAAATGCTTGCCAATATTCAGTTATGGAATTAAAATGTTAAATGGTGAAAAATGTTTTCTTTGTCTACTTATTCACTTGTACAAGCTACCATTTGAAAATGAAACAATATGAAACAAAAAAAATTATTATTTTATCATTCTTACTTATTATTTGATAATGATTCCAAATAACAGCAGACCTATTATTAGGGGTGTACATGGTGTAGGTTGGGTCGGTTTGGAGGATTTTTTCGACCCAACCTAACCCTCTATTTTCGGGTTGGTTTGAGTTCGGTTGTCAAATTTTTTTTTTTAAGTTTTATTTATCCACAATTTATAATTATTTGGATACAATCTATAATTATTGAAAAAATAATAATAATAAATTTTAAAAAAATAACGAGCGAAAATCGTAACATAGTTCAACATTGTCATAAAACTAAAGACAATTAAATACCGACAGTTTTTAAAAATTAGTTAAAAAAACAAAAATACAAAGATAGATTATGAAATTAAAGAAATAATAAAATGATTAGTTTAAGAATATTATATATAACAAAAATAAAAAATATATAAAAATATTTTAGTTAAAATAGGCTTATTTATACCTTACCTTAAACTATTAGAAAAATAAAAATATATATAAATTATATAATAATGTGGCAACAAATAAATAATAAATATATTATAATTTAGAATATGTTTTAAAATTATATATATAAAAAATTCTTTAAACATGGATATAAATTATAATTAATAAATATTTGAATTATAGGTATAAAATTTATTAATAATTATATGTTAGTTATTTTAAAGTATTTTAAAAATAGTATGAAATATTAAGGTATTTTTAAAATATATGTATATAAAAGAAACTAAACAAAAATTTTAAAAAATAAAATAATATAAAAAAATTATACAAAATGTATATATATATAAGAAATTAAAAATAAAAAAATAATATAAACAAAACAAAGAAATTAAAAATAAAAATAAAAATATGTATTTGACAAGAATCAAGGTGTGAATGTTCTTGAGCTAAACTTAGTACCACTCTTGCAAATTCATTAATACAAAAGTATTCTTAATATATTTTATATATTTTTATTTGGCTCGGGTCAACCTAAAAGTTTTACCCATGAACCCGAAACCGAACCGATTCAGTTCGGGTTCAGAAAAATGAACCCAACCATACCTGAAATGCTAATCCAACCCAACCTAACCCTTATAGTTCGGGTTGGGTTGGTCCGTGTTGTCGAGTTGAATGTACACCCCTACCTATTATTCAATAACAGGTTCCCAATAACAGGAGACCGGCTAAAGATAGGAAAGATTGCAATTTGAAAAATATTCTGTAATTACCCCTCTTTTCTTGGTTGTCAGTTACAACCCATTTTTCTTTCTTTGGTTTCCATCAACAGCCCCCATATAGCAATGTAAAAATGGTTATGGAATTACCATCCTCTTTTCTTTGTTGTCATTTTTCTTTCTTTAGTTTCCATATACAGCCTCATATAGCAAGGTAAAGATGGTTATGGAATTATCATCCATTTTCTTTGGTTGCTATATAGTAGCCCCATTTCTTTCTTTAGTTGCCTGCAACAACCCCATAACAATAGGGTAAAAATGGTTCTTGAATTACCACCATTTTCTTTGTTAGTTCTCCCCTTTTGTTGATTCTAGAATTACCATTACCCTCCATTTCTTTCTTTAGTTGCCAGCAACAGCCCCATAACAGGTAAAGATGGTTCTAGAATTTCCACTTCTCCCTCTTTGTTGGTTTTGGAATTACCATTACCATCCATTTTTATTTGTTGGTTCTCCCTCTTTGCTGATTTGGAATTATCATCTCTTTTCCTTGTTGCCATTTTCTTTGTTTGTTCTCCCTCTTATGTTGGTTTTGGAATTATTATCCCTTTTCTTTGTTGATTCTCTCTCTTTATTGGTTGCCTCATTTTACCATCCATTTCTTTCTTTAGTTGCCAACAACAGCCCCATAGCTAGTAAAGATGGTTCTAGAATTACCACTTCTCCCTAGTTTTGGAATTACAATACATTTCTTTATTTAGTTGCCAGCAACAGCCCCATAACAGCTTCTCCCTCTTTGTTGGTTTTGGAATTACCATTACCATCCATTTTCTTTGTTGGTTCTCCCTCTTTGTTGTCCTGTAATTATCATCTCTTTTCTTTGTTGTCATTCTCTTTGTTGGTTCTCCTCTTAGTTGGTTTTGGAATTATTATACATTTTCTTTGTTGGTTATGTTAAAGATCACGTATTGTTTAGATTGTTGTCATTTAGTATCTAATTAAATCTACGTTAGAGTTTGTTGGTTATGTTAAAGATCACGAATTGTTTAGATTGTTGTCATTTAGTATCTAATTAAATCTACGTTAGAGCTAGATTTAGTATTTTTATTTGATTTACTCTCGATTTGATTAGATTTTGTTTTGATTTAATTTGTTTATTACCAATTTCCTGATTTCTAGGCAGATTTTATAGATATATCTTTGTATTCTCTCTCCATATAGGCTCTTCAAAATTTATCAATCTTCTCATCAACCATTCAATAAATCTCTCTTTCACTAACAATTGGTATCAGAGCTATCTTCCAAAGGATTTGTGAGATCAAGATGGAAGGAGAATCCAGTTTTTGATTTGTGAGATCAAGATGGAAGGAGAATCCAGTTTTTGATTTGTGAGATCAAGATGGAAGGAGAATCCAGTTTTTGATTTGTGAGATCAAGATGGAAGTAGAATCCAGTTTTTCCGTTGTTGCATCACCAGAAGACAATTATCAAATGTGGGCAGTTCGTATGGAGACTTATTTGGAGGCCTTGGATATTTGGGAAGCAATAGAAGAGGATTACGAGGTCCCTCCGCTTCCAGCAAATCCTACTGTAGCACAAATCAAATTACAGAAGGAAAAGAAGACAAGAAAATCAAAGGCGAAAACTTGCCTATTTGCCGCTGTATCTCAAATGATCTTCATGCGAATAATGTCCCTCAAAATAGCAACGGAAATCTAGGATTATCTCAAAGTCAAATATGAAGAAGATGAGAGGATTCGTGGAATGAAAGCCCTGAATTTGATTAAGGATTTCAAGTTGCAGAAGATGAAGGAGTCTGAATCGGTGAAAGAGTACTCTAACAAACTTCTCAGCATTGCCAACAAAGTGAGATTGCTTGGTTATGTATTAAATGATTCCAGGATCGTTGAAAAGCTGCTAGTCACTATTCCATAGAAGTTTGAAGCCACCATTACTACTCTGCAGAACACCAAAAACTTGTCAAAGATTTCTCTTATAGAGCTCGTGAATGTTTTACAAGCACAAGAGTAAAGGAGGTCCGGCGATTACTAGCGATTCCGGCTTCATGCAAGCGAGTTGCAGCCTACAATCCGAACTGAGGCAAGAAGGGGTGATTGAAGGTGCCTTACATGTCAAGCATCAAGACAACAACAGGTATAAAAACAAGAAAATTTTCAAAAACCAATCGACGAATGGAGATCCATCCTCCAATTTTAAAAAAGGAGGAGGTTTCAAAAAATCCTATCCACCTTGTCGCCATTGTGAGAAGAAAGGTCATCCACCATACAAGTGTTGGAGAAGATCTGACGTCTTTTGCTCCAAATACAATCAACTTGGACATGAAGCTGTGATCTGCAAAGCCAAAGATCAGGTGAAAGAAGTAGATGCACAGGTAGTTGATCAAGAAGAAAAAGATCAATTGTTTATGGTCACTTCTTCCTCAAGCAAAGAATCAAGCTAGAGCTGGTTGATTGACAGTGGGTGCACAAATCACATGACATATAATAAGGAGTTTTTTTAGGAATTAAGAGACACCGAAGATAAGAGAGTGAGGATTGGCAATGGTGAACGCTTGGAAGTCGAGGGAAAAGGCATAGTAGCTATAACAAGTTATGAAGGTACAAAATTTATTCCGGATGTTTTATTTGTGCCTAAAATTGATCAAAATTTGTTAAGCATTGGTCAGTTACTTGATAAAGGCTATAAAGTGTTGTTTGAGAATAAGCAGTGTTTGATCAAAGATGCTAGTGGCAAAGACTTGTTCAATGTCAAAATGGAAGGAAAAAGTTTTGCTCTAAATCCGACGGCCTTTATATCCAGAGTTAGTGTCACTGAGATTTGGCACAAAAGACTTGGACACTTTCATCATTGAGGTTTGCTTCCGATGCAATCAAAGAAGCTGGTAGAAGAACTCCCTGACATTGGTAAGGACATGCCTCCTTGCCGTACTTGTAATTTTGGGAAGCAACATAGGCAACCCTTTCCTAAACAGGCATGGAGAGCCTCGAAAAAACTGCAGCTTGTTCATACTAAGTTTTGTGGTCCTCAGCAAACACTATCATTAAATGGTAATCTTTATTACATTGCTTTTATTAATGATCTAACAAGAATGTATTGGATATTCTTGCTGAAGTAAGTCAAAAGTTGCGGGTGTATTTTGGAAATTCAAAGCAAAAGTTGAGAATGAAGATGCATGCTTGATTCAGACCATAAGATCAGATAATAGCAAGGAATACACTTCATAAACTTTTAACAGGTTTTGTGAAGAGGCTGAAATTGGAATTGAACATCAATTGATAACACCATACACTCCTCAACAAAATGGCGTTAGTGAAAGGAAAAATAGATTCATAATGAAGATGACGAGATGCATGCTTCATGAGAAGGATCTTCCAAAATGTTTTTGGAGAAAAGCAGCAAACACTATTATGTGCTTGCAAAATCAAATTTCAACAAGAGCTATGAAGAACCTGACACTAGTGGAAGTTTGGTATGGTTACAAACATTCTTTAAAGTTTCTTAGAGTATTTGGGTCTATTTGTTTCACTTACATTCCACGGTCAAGCGCGATAACCTTGACAAAAAGTCAGAAGTTGGCATGTTAGAAGAGTCTGAAGATGAACGACTAAAATTGTCTGAAGATGAACAACAAGATGCTTTGGTTGATGATGCACCAGAGGAGGAGCTTTCAGTGATTAAGAAAAACAAAATTTGGGAGTTGGTTGATCGACCTCTAAACAAAAAGATAATTGGAGCAAGATGGGTGTTCAGAAAAAAAAAAAAAAAAACTTGGAATTCAAAGCATCTAAATAAGGAGTGTTAAAGATCACGTATTTGTTTAGATTGTTGTCAGTTAGTATCTAATTAAATCTACTTTATGAGTTAGATTTAGTTTTTTATTTGATTTAATTTGTTTAATGTTTTGTTACCAGATTTCGTGATTTCTAGGTAGATTTTTTAGATATCTGTTTTTATTCTCTCTATATATTCATAGAGCATTCTTGCTCTTCAAAATTTATCAATCTCATCAACCATTCAATAAATTCCTCTTTCACTAACAGGTTCTCTCTATTTGTTAGTTGCCCCATTTCTTTCTTTGGTTGCCGACAGCAACAGCCACATAAGGATAAATCCCTCTTTCACTAACAGGTTCTCTCTCTTTGTTGGTTGCCCCATTTCTTTCTTTGGTTGCCAGCAGCAACAGCCCATAGAGTAAAGATGGTTCTCTAATTACCACCATTTTATTTGTTGGTTATTTGTTGGTTATGTAATTATCATCCCATCCATTTTGTTTGTTGATTATGAAATTATCATCTATTTTTTTTATTGGTTCTGGAATTATCATTATCCATTTACCATCCTTTTTATTGGTTGGTTCTAGAACTTTTCTTTTACCATCTCTTTTTTTGGTTGGTTATGGAATTATCATCATCCCTTTAGTTCTATTCTTTTACCATCCCTTTTCTTTGTTAGTTCTGAAATTACCATCCCATCCTTTTCTTTATTGGTTCGAGAATTACCATCTTTTTCTTCGTTGGTTTTCTCTCTTTGTTGGTTCTCGAATTACCATTACTATCCATTTACGATCCCTTTTCTTTGGTCTGTATTACCATCCAAGGTTCTGGAATTACCATTTTTTTTTTTAATTATAAAATTATCATTCTTTTATTTGTTGGTTTTGGAATTATCATCTCAACCCTTTTCGTTATTCTTTGGTCTGTATTACCATCCAAGGTTTTGTAATTACCATCCAATTTTATTTTTTTTATTATTATGAAATTACCAATTCCTTTTAATTGTTGGTTCTGGAATTACCATGTCATCTATTTCTTTGTTAGTTTTGAAATTACCATGTCTATCCATTTTTCTTTATTAGTTATGAAATTACTTTCTATTTTTTTGTTCTGGAATTACAATAAATTTTTGTTGTTGGTTATGGAATTACCATCCCATCTCTTCTCTTTGTTCTAGAATTACCATCATTTTTCTTTGTTGGTTATAGAATTACCATCCTATCTCATCCTTTTTCCTTATTCTAAAACTATCATCCATTTTCTTTGTTGGTTCTGTAATTACCATTCCTTTTCTTTGTTGGTTTGGAATTACTATTCATTTTCTTGGTTGGTTCTGAAATTATCATCATATCCCTTATCTTTGTTGGTTCTGTAATTACCATCCCATCCATTTTCTTTGTTGGTTATGGTCTCTTTGGTTGGTTCTCAAATTACCATTTCATCTCTTTCTTTGTTGGTAATGGAATTACTATCCCATCCCCTTCCTTGTTGTTTCTGGAATTACCATATCATCTATTTTCTTTGTTGGTTATGGAAAAAGAACTATCACATTTTTTTTATTGGTTCTGGAATTACTTTTTTTTTTGTTCAAGAATATTACCTTTTCTGTGTTGGATCTGTAATTACCTTCTACCTTTTCTCCCTTTTATTTATTCATTTCTTGAATTACATATTTCTTTGTTGGAATAACTTCTTTATTGATTCTGTAATATTACTTTCTTTTCTTGGTTCTTGAATTACTTTTACCTTTTCTCTCTTTTCTTTGTTGGTTGGTTACGAAATATTACCTTGTTGATTATGGAATTATCATTCTTTTTGTTGGTTCTGGTTTCTTTGTTGATTGGAATTACTTTTTTTTTATTTGTAAGGTCGAAATTATCTTTTCTTTGTTGGTTGGAATTATATTTTCTTCGTTGGTTCTAGTTCTTTTTGTTTGACAGCAACAACCCCATCCCGTTTCTTGTCCTGGAATTACCATCCATTTTTCATTTGTTTGGCAACAATAGCCCATCCTTTGTTTGCCATATCCCTTTTTCATTGGTTTACCAGTAACAACCCCATAACTTTTTCAGTTGTTACATTTTTCATTTGTTTGCCTGCAACAGCTCCATGATTTTAGAATTACCATCATTTTTCCATTTGTTTACCAGCAACAACTTTATCTCTTTTCCTTTGTTTGCTAGCAATAGCCTCATCCTTTTTCCCTCATCTCTTTTTTTGGTTTTGGAATTACCATCCATTTTCTTTTGTTTGTCCCATCCCTTTTCTTGGTTTTGGAATTCCATTTGTTTGCCAGCAACAACTCCATCCCTTTACCTTTGTTTACCAATAACAACTTCATCCCTTCCCCATCCCTTTTCATGGTTCTGGAATTCCACCATTATTTACCCCATCCCTTTTCTGGTTGTTTGTCAGCAACAACCTCATCCCTTCCCCATCCCTTTTCCTTTGTTTGTCGGAGACTCATATTCGAATTAACTTAGTTCACAAGTCTAGGTATGCTCTAATGAAGGAAATATTTCTCAAAATTCTTTTTAACACAAATGCATTTTACTCAAATTTGTGGGGATTAAAAAGGCTGGAAAGAGAGAAATTATTCTCTCTATCCTACTTTTCCTGGAAGGTAGCTGCGCCAATAAGGTAAGCCTACCATGTTCACCATTCATAGGCTCTAGCCCAACAACTACTCCAACTCTGTACTTACTTGCAAATAGCCTATGCTCGATCAACTTTATGTAAGTTTTTGTTTTTTATTATTATTTTTATTTTCAAATATTATTATAATCTATTATATGTATAAATTAGTATTTATATATAATTAATATAAAATACATATATTATATATTATATTGTATGAATTGATAATATATATAATATTTTTTATACATATAATTTATAATAGATTTATAATATACATAAATTATACGTTTTTTTTTTTTTTTTTTTTTTTTTTTTTTTTTTTTTTTTTTTTTTTTTTTTTTTTTTT